TAACTGAATTAAGTATCAGTTTTTTAATTTAAGCATGAGACCCTACTACATAGAAATACGCTTATATTAATAAAGGATATGGGGCAATATTTTGAAATATGGCAACACCAGTCAGACAAATACGCTGACCACCTGTCATTTCTTTAGGGGTTACTACGACTCCTTGGTGGTGGTGCTCAGGAGGGGCCTGGAGGAAAAGCAAAGGGCATTTGTGACGATGAAGCCACAAGAGGAGGTGATGGTGGTTGTAGCTGGGGACCTGCCTGTGAGTGACAGGCAAGAATTCACAGCTACAGGCTGATTTTAGGGTCTGGGACCATAGAGGTCTCCCCAACTCTAAATAGCTTGAGGTTCTGGTGGAGTTTGATCTATGCTGTCCATTATTTGTTAAAAAAGGACCTGGACAGATCACTGGGAAGGTCCCTTCTTTGCTTAAACAAAGGTGGGAATAGATGTCATGTTAGAAAAAGGGAGCACCTGCCCCTGGAAGGGGTTTTCATGACGGGGAGAGGGCACATGTAGCTCACAAAGTGAGGCACAGTACAACAGTCTAATTGTGTAAGACTGCAGGTGAAACACAGCACAGTAATGCAGTGAGGTCGGCTAAAGACAGAGGGATCTAACATTGTCGTAAGGCTGCCATTTCTTTTTTTTTTTTTTTCTTATAGCATAACTGTGTACATTAATGCAACCATGGGGTACAGTGTACTGTTTTCATATACATTTTGAAATACTCTCATCTAATTGGTTAACATAACCTTCATGTCATTTTCTTAGTTATTGAGTTAAAACGTTCATATTCTGCTTTTAGAAAGATTGACTTGTACCCTTAACCATAGAGGTGACCCCACCAATCACCCTCCCTCTCCCCATCCACCCCCTCACCTCCCCCTCCCGCCCCCTTCCCATATTCTAAGGCTATAAATAGGTTATGACATTCCTATAAAAGCTATGAATTAGTTTCAAAGTAGGGCTGTGTACACTGGATACTTTTTCTTCCATTCTTGAGATACTCTGCTAAGGCTGCCATTTCTTTCAAAAGATGAGCCACATGTGGTTAGAATCTAAATAAGTTACACATTTTCCCAAGTTATACAACATATACAGTATGTTCACTAAAGAAACCGGAGTTTATAAGGGGAAAAACCACTTGATTCCTTTATCTAAGGAAGGATCCTTACTCTTAGCATTTGTTCCCTGCTCATGATGCCCCTGTGTGCACAGATGCTGTGCGGAAGCACACGGAAGACGCCATTTGCACATTCCCATCAGCAGATACCCTTTGATGACGAGACTTCCGGTGGCTGCATGTCATGGCAGTGAGTAAGTGTAAGTTAGGCAGTGATTTGTGGACTTCACATTTTGCTGTTATAAATATTACAACAATAATCTATCTGCGTCAGTCTGTGTTCACTTTTTTTTTGAGACAGTCTCACTACATCGTCCTGGGTAGGGTGCCGTGGAATCACAACTCACAGCAACCTCCAACTCCTGGACTTAGGCAATTCTCTTGCCTCAGCCTCCTGAGTAGCTGGGACTACAGGTGCCCGCCACAA